AAGACAAAGTTCCTCAGGCAAATGTCGCATCCATAATGAAGTGAACAGTCGTTTTGAACAGCAAATGTCGCATCCATAATGAAGTGAACAGTCGTTTTGAACAGTCACAAACAGGTCCTGCACGAACAGGAATTGGACATAGTTTTCAAACTCCTCGATGGAAAGTCACGTCTGTTCGGCAATAAGTCAGAGGCCACAGTCCCAGTCCAATCATAATCCCACGAGTCAGTCCTGATTCAGACCAGGAGTCCAAGAGACAGGCCCGATGGCCCAAAGCAGCAGCAGACCATGGGAAAGGATACTGGGACATACACTTTGCAACAACRGGTACTGGGCAGGAGTCCCAGACACTYGAGGCTSAATGCAGGSCACGCCAGGCCAGTCCAGCACTATAAAGGACTGGCCAGCCTCCCATTTGGACAGATGCTCACTTCGCATGAGTTTGTGGAAGTGCCGAGGCACTTGTGCGCTAGATGTGTGTGAGCTGCGCTTGGGTGAAGAGCAGCACTATGTGAGAGGGAAGAGAGTGCTGGCTGGAAGGAAGGCAGCCATAGCTGCGCCAGCGCCAGTTAGTATGTTAGTAGGGATAGTCAGTAGGAGACACCAGTGAGAAGTATTCAGAGTAGATCCTCGTGTGATAGGGATTGAGAGTAGACCAGGACTAAAGGCAGAGGAAGAGAAGAGAGAGATCAAAGGGGAAGAAGTAAGCTATGGTGATACTTACCTGTTGAGGCGCTGTTGACGTTAGGCAGCTGGTGCTGATGGGTGCCAGGCCTGGGAGTTTATGTTGATTGAAGAAGACTGGTAACTCTGTTTGGCGCTGTACACTTTGAACTCACGATGTTCTCTCTCTAATTCTGGGTTTGATAATTGAGTTGAGCTTCCTGGTTTTCCTTCATTTTCTATTGGGCTTTGTGTGAGACATCGCAGCCTGTGAAATCTGTGTATATGCATGTGATCTGATGAACTCCAGAAAGTGTTGAACAGTCGGGTTCCTTGCAATCCCTCCGGACATGGAGGGCATTGTAGGTGAAGACGTATTCAGAACAGGAGGTAGAGGTCGTCCACAGAAACAATATAAGGTCCGATTTGCTTACCAGGAACCCGAGGACGACCGCTGGTTTACTAGATCTGAACTTCTAGAAACGGCTCTCGACGTAGTTAGAGCCTACTAGAGAGAAAGGAAAGGCAAAAATTCGGTCTTGGACTGAATTATTCTCGGAGGACCTCGAATTTAGGCTGGCGGGAGTGAAACGGTATTCACCTGTTAGCAGTAGCGAATGCAGATCCCAGGGCTCGATCCCTAGTTCTTCCCTTACCTGTGTACAGTACCTGTGTTGACCCCGAGAGTTGAACCCGTGACCTGTGTATTCGCAACAGTTGGTAGGCTGTCGTAGGTCCGTAGGTGGTAGGGGTTCGATCTGTAGACCTATCGAGCAGAGGTCTTAGCAAGTTCTAGAAGCCGTAGTGGTAGTGTAACGCGCGCGAGGCTGAGGGAGAGTCGAAGGAGAGGAGAGAGAGAGAGAGAGAGGGAGAGAGTGAGAGCACACACGCACACACTCACTTGCTCGACACGACTGAGGGTCAGACGCAGACAAAGTGGCAAGGGCACAAAGTCGAAGTCTTGGATTCCCGAATGCCGAAAACAGCAAGTCACACGGAGTACGAGTACAGCAGCTGGAAACTGGTACGAGACCGGTCCCCGTACCGTACGGCGAGCCCGTATAAGTACTCGTGACACGTACGGTACCAGGGGCATTTCTGCAAAGGCCCCGAGGGCAGAACTGAGAAATGCGGTATTTGAACAGCAAAAAAGATAGACCAGGGATCGAGCCCTGGCGGAGACCGTAACACTATCCCCTCCCTCTAGAAGGCAACATCCTGGCTGCCAAAAATCATGAAGCAATGCTGAAATCTGTGAAGGACGGGTCGGGGCCGATCACTGGTTAACAAGTCGAAAGGGAAGAGGGGTATAATGTGCGTGGCATGGGCTGCGGGAGTAAGAGGGAACAGGGTTTGGTACCGGTGAACAGAGTTGTCCTACTGATGAACTAGGGGAGGTTGCAGGGAACAGGGTAGTCCTACACTAAAGGGACGGCAGGGAGCAAGGTAGTCCTATTGATGAACTAAGGGGACTGCATGGTTTGCTATAGGTTAAGGGGGAACAGAGTTCAGGGAACAGGGAACTTCTATTGATGTTCTACTGGGTAAGGGAAACGGTGTTCAGGAAAACAGGGTATTTCTATTGATGTTGTAGTGGGTAAGGGAAACAATGGTCAGGGGAACAGGGGACGTCTATTGATGTTCTAGTGGGTACGGGGAACAATGGTTAGGGAAACAGGGATCTGCTAATGATGTTCTACAGGATTGTCAAAGTCAGGAAAAATAAAAATGAAAATGTTTGTTCAGGATGCAAGGGCTGGTGTGTCTGAAGGAGTGGGAAGCAGAATCTCATGTAGGAACGAAGTGTCCAAGTGTCTTGAAAGGGGGTATGCAGCGGTCTTGATCAGGTCTTTGGAGTAGGTGGTAGAAGTGGTCTTCAGCGGCTGCGATAGGTCGAAGTCCAAGAAGTGTAGTAGTAGTTCAAGTGTCAAAGTCCAAGTGCTAGGGTGCGTCCGGTACACGAACTGCAATGAGGTCTGATCTGGAAGCAAGGAAGTCGCAGACTGATGCAAAGATCCACGTCACAAGTTGCTGCTCCAGTAAGTTCGCGAGTCGGGATGCCAGCCGATGAAACAGCATGGTAGCCAAACCAGCTGCATAATCTCCATGAACAGTGAGGCAGCAGGTCATCGTCCTCGTGCGCTTGCCATTAGATCCTTTATCGCCGGCGTCACGCAAGTTCACAAGCATTGGACAAGAGAGACAAGGTAGTGGAGAGGACAGATGGGGCAAGGCTAGGCGAGGGCAAGGGCAGATCAGACATCAGGAATGAAGGTCAAGGGAAGGGTGGACTGGGTCAAGGGTGTGTGTATAGCGGGGTTGCAAGGTTGTAGCAGGGTTTATGCCATAGTTATATAGGTATCTAGGACATCGGATTAGCACGATCATAGGCGCGAACAAGTTTCATGGCGTTCTTAAGATTAGAGAGAGGTTCCCATATAGATTCTTCATCGGGGTATTCAGTCCATTTGACTTTGTATTCAGTGATTGGTTCCGGTTGATCAGATACCTGAGTGGTTCGTGGTTCATCGGCCGATGATGGTTTCGACAACGAATTCACGGCCTGTGTAGCATGATTGGTGGAGGTCTAGGATATGGGCCGTCGGCGAACTGGGGAGGGGATTCATGGTATTCTTTTAGGTACTCGACATGGAAGACTGGGTGGACACGACTCATCTCAGGGGGAAGTTGGAGTTTGTAGTTGACGGGGGAGGTTTGTTCAATGATGGGGAAGGGACCAGGCCATTTGTTGGAGAGTTTCTTGGACAAGCCGTGTTCAGGTTCAAAGAGTTTGGCGGAGAGCCAGACTTTGTCCCCTACTTTGAATGACACGTCGCGTCTATGTTTGTTAGTCTTGTTGGCTTGTTGTTCTTGGGTTCGTTCAATGACTTCATAGGCTTCTCTCAGGAGTCTATACATTCTTGCTACCCATTCATTGAGAGAGGGGCAGGGGTTGGATGGGTTAAGCTGCGAAGGGAGCAAGAAGTCAGAGGGCAAGCAAGGGTGGTAGCCAAGGTCGAGGTAGAATGGGGACATGCCGGTGGAAGGGCAGACGGCGTTGTTGTAGGCAATCTCGGCGGCTGTGAGCAACTGATCCCAATCGTGTTGGTGTGGATGACAATACTTCCGCAGCATTCTTTGGAGTGTATCATTCATCTTCTTTGTTTGTCCATCGGTCTGTGGGTGGAACGCAGTGCTATACTTGCGTGTGGTTCCGTAGGCCGTGAAGAGGTGTCTCCAGAATTGTGAGAGGAAACGAGGATCACGGTCACTAATGATGTTCTCGGGGAGGCCGTGATGGCGAGCAACATGGTCGTAGTGGGCAGAGCCCAGCCATTCATTCATTCCTGTGTAAGCCATGCGGAAGTGCTGCTTGATCGACTTGTGCGAGGTGGTGCAGAGCGCCTGAAGACGAAGTGGGCAGAGTTGAGGTTGTGTAGCCATAGCCAGCAGGGTTACGCGGCCATAGCCGCCATAGGTGGTAGGCGAGTGTAGTGTGTGCGTGTGTGTGATACAGTGTTTTGCGTGTGGGATATCCTGGGTGATCCTTGGTTGAGTCTGTGTGAACAGCGGAGTCGAGCACAGCGACGAACAGAGAGTTGTACAGGCGCTGATGCGCCATAGCCTGTTGAAGCGAGCATGTATCTGAGCTGTGTTTCCGACTTCCATATCTCTGAGCTTGAGTGGGTGCTGAGCGCCAGTGTGACTTGCCATCTGTTTGTGTGAATGCAAAGTGAAAAAGAAAGTGAGTCTGATTGCACTAAGTAGTCAGGTTTTTCAGGTGGGCCCACAAGGGCTGAAGAGGCCGATTGTTCATCTCAGTTCACAGGCAATCGATGTTGTGCAGGATCCTGTTATTTTTTCAGTTTATTACTCTTCCAGTATTAGAATATTGTATTATGGGACGCCGGGCCCGTCTCAAAGCACATGTTGCTCCCAATGAATAGACTGTAGCCTTCTCAAATGGTGGGCCCTGGAACACTCAGGGATAACCCTCAACAGCGAACGGACACTTGGGGGCCTTTTGAGAACAATAAGAAAATGAAGGCCATGTGAGTGAATTCGGAATGGTTGTACAAATAACAGTTAGTAAACAGATCACAGGTTCAAATCTTCACGAGATCACAGAACACAAAAGGCTCCCTTCCAGATGCTTCCAGATACACAGCAGCATTCCTATCACAAGAGGCATTATCACATTCATGGAACTTTCCTGGCAGATAACACTCACAGCAGTGCTGCTCCACTGCATATAAACCTCCACAACAAGCAATAAGCAGGCAGCTGTAGTTAGACATTTAGAACAAAAAAGTGCGATGAAAAAATAATGGGCTTACCTCTGGTGCCATCCAGTATGGGGTTCCTCTCGTGGATTGTACAAGTGAGTCTTCATGTACCTGCATTTCACATCCAGAAATTGCATTCAGGATGGGTTCGTGGCATTTCTTTACTTCAACGAAGATGCAGGCCCCCCCCCCGCTCTCTCTCTCTCTCTCTCTCTCTCTCTCTCTCTCTCTCTCTCTCTCTCTCTCTCTCTCTCTCTCTCTCTCTCTGTGTCTCTGTTACATGCCCAGTTGGGCGAATAACCGAGGATCTGCGATGTGATAAAAAAGGACTGAATGTACAAAGCAGTGCAAGTGAAATCTCAACTAGCAGTGTACATCCTGATACATACAAAAATGGTGCTTTATAGCGCAGTGGAAGACTTAGATACAAGTCCTGACCTGACCGGGACTGACCTCTCTTATGTAGTACAAGACAGCGTAGCGGAATACCAGAATACCAGTGACTATCCCAATCAATGTCGCAATGCAGACCAAACATACATCAGCCTCATCACAAGGTGTGAAGGGGGCCTGGCGCTACACACAGGAAGAATGCGCCAGGTTCAGATCATGCACAGACGAAGAGGAGGGAATCAGACGAAGCATAGGGGGGAGATGGGAATGTCGTCAACACCAAGTCTTCATTACAAGTCCCAAAATAGTCCCTTGTCAAAATGTCTGAAGCCCCATGTCGTGTCTGGACCAAATGTCACCAATCCCGCTCTCTCGTAGTCTGCTGATGCAGTGAAGTCAGGTAACGAGAGGGTGAGAGG